CCCCAAAACCCCAAAACCCCAAAACCCCAAAACCCCATTGCAGCGAATGTTAACAAAATATTAAGTTTAAATATTTGTGAAGTTAGATGCTATCCATTGTTGAAGAAGAGCCCACTATAGCTGAAGAAGAGAAGCAACTATCCCCTTCGGGTCTGAATCAGGACATTAAGCACTTATTTAGTAAGGAGGCTAGAAAGAGACGCTTTGTGAACTCCATAAAGAAGAAATTTGGAGTCAATACAAATGCCAAGTCTATATTTGAGATGGGCAAAACTGAGTCCTCCGGACTTAAAGCAAAAGGGCCCAAGAGCATCCCACTCAAGATTAATCTCAAGAACTTGAATAATAGCTTCGAGATCATGGCCAAGAAGGATACCATCTTGAAGAGTAAGAAAAATGCTTTTATGTGTAGAGAACTCAGCTTTTTGAGGTAATAGGTCCAGAGCACTGTCTCCAGTCCAGACAAACAAATTTTTTAAGAAGAGGAAGGCAATGAAGAATATGCGTCACTGAAAGTCACCCCAACCTGAAGGATTAGCGGATATTCACCGTAAAAATACCTTCATAACTGTATGTAAACCATTTTGTTCAGGCATAATTTCCTTTAGAAAAATGAGCGAAGCAAGAAGATACCAACCAAATCAATTGGGAAGGTTAATTTCTCAGAGAAATGAGTCCCACCTCTTAAGATGTCTTATGACACTGATGTAAGTCATTACCAAATTTGGAAAAGATAGCTATTTTTACGTAAATTCTGACTGGGAATATCAGCCCTAAAAGACCCACATGCTTTGAAAATCTGATGATCATGATCTAAGCTTATCAGTGGTCTAAGGGAGTTTCTGATAGATTTCATTTCTCAAAATTTTGGATAGGCAGGTCCTGGCCAAAGATACAGGTCCAACTTAGCCCAGCATGTACTACACACTAACCTGGAAAATGTAGAGGGATTTGGAATAGTTTAAAAATTTTTCGCTTCAACTCATTTGTCAAAATGGAAAAATTAGAAATATGATCTCCCAGGATTTTTCCAAAATATTATTAAAAATACACTTTTTCTTGAGATTTGCTAATCATTGTGCTATAGAAGTCTATGAGCACAAAGGATATGTCAGAAGCTTCTCCTACTTATAAGCAAGAGCGCAGAATTCGTAATAAGAATCTTTCACAGAACTTCATGAAAAGTTTAGCGTATCTTGAGCCTCTGAAGAAGCTTAAAAAGAGTTACTCACCGACAAAATCAAGGGAGATCCCTTTGGAGGATATTTCCAGTCCTTCTAAAAAGAGAAAGTTCAAGAGATCCATCACTAGCTCTGTCAACCTAAGCCCTTTGAAGGAGAAAAATATTAAGAATCCCTTAGAGCTGTTACTGAATTTACCAGTAAAGGCCAGTTATGAGAGGAAGGAGAAGGCTTTTGTGAAGGTACTTTATGACTAATAATTCATACTAATATCCCTATCCGAGTCTGCTATTAACTTTCCAAGGCTCCGGCCGGAGCCTTGGAAGCTTTTAATAACTCTATTTGGATTTTTTATGAAATTTTGTTATACTTTCCTTCAAAATTTCTGACCATCTGGACTTACTAAACTAGTAAAAATCCGAATAATTAGTTTCGTTGAGAGGTTTTAGGGAAATAATCTCGTTGAGTAAGTAAAATTTTGTTAAGAAAATACTCCAGAACTCGAACTGAGTGAAGATATCCGTTGCCAGCAGCGATCTTTACTAAAAGATCTTAGGAAAAATTTTAATCTTCTTGGGAACCTACAATCTAGTTTATGTTCATATTCTTTATTTTTGAGAGTTATAGTTTGTACACTCTTTAACAGATACAGAGCTCTCATGGGTGACATCTAGGATGTCTAATCCTGAGACTTTAAGCCAAGATTCTTCGACTGTATACCCCCTTATGCTTATATCCAAAAATTATCAGCTTAGCCATGATGTTTAGAGTAACTTTTGGATTTCTTTCCAAAGATGATCAGAGTGAAATGGGAACATGCTAATATTTTAGTTGTTATATTATAATTTTACTCAAATTTCATAAAAATGAACAGAAATATTCGTTTTTAGAATACGAAGAATTCTTCATATTTCTGAATTAGAAGGATCCGTACTTGAAAAACTTGGTCTGCCTGTTGTCAGAGCAATGGTAGGCGGAATTTCATTGAGTGGTTTATGATATTTTACAGCAAGATTTGGAAAAGTATCCGTTATTAAATTATTTCACCTTCAATGAAATTTACCCTCTTGTAATTTGTACGTCCAGAATTTAGTCGTTATGGAATGGATTAGATTAATGAAGAGGCTAATAGGGTTTGATATGGGTCTTATAAAATTGAATTTTCAGATTTTGTATCTTTGGGAAATGAAAGCGATATGAGTAAAGATTCGAAAATTAAGTGATGAGAATTTAAAGGAGAGTTTTTATGTTATTAATTTAAATCCTACTTCTTTTACACCCAAGTTATTTCAATTAAAATAATTGAAGCAGGGGTTTTGGGGTTTTGGGGTTTTGGGG